TATTTCACTTAGCATTTTCAAGGTTCAACCATGTTGTAGTACATATCAGGATTTCATTCGTTTTTAATACTGACTGAATAAATCCCATTGTATATGTTCACAGTTCCTGACACTAATTATAAAAAAAAAAAGAAAGAAAAACCCTTACTATTTGGGAGTTACTATTGACATTGGCTGAGTATCACTCTAGACATCTATTTATGAGTAGACAGACAGAAAAATAGGTGGATATAAATAATGTTAGAAAATGGGCTTTGGGGGGCACCTGGGTGGCTCAGTTAGTTAAGCATCCAACTTGTGATTTCAGCTTGGGTTATGATCTCATGTGTTGTGAGATGGAGCCTGCATCAGGCTCTATGCTCAGCAGGGAGTCTGCTTAAGATTCTCTCCCTCTGCCCCTCTACCCATTTTCTCTCTCCTTCTCAAATAAATGCATCTTAAAAAAAAAAGAAAATGGGCTTTGGGGTCTTGCTTTCTAATACTAATCTAAAGCTCCCTTGGCTGGACTAAAGGCACAGGTAGGCTTCTGGGCTTAGAGACTTGGCCCGCTCCTAGAATCCAGCACCAGCTCCCGAGCAGTTCCTCTGCCCTCAGCCAATCAGTGGATGGTTGGCCGTTGTGACTCTGCTTTTATTTGTTTCCACCTCTAAATAGTCCTTTAGTCCTGAGGATTTTTTCTGTACCACATTTCTCACTTTTCTTTAGTTAGCAATTATTTATTCATGCCCATCTTGTGCCAAGAGCTGTGCTAGGTACTGGGAGAACTTGAACAAAGGTACTCTCCTACCCTCAAGTAATTCACAGTACAGGAGACAGAAAAGCAAACACATGCATTAAATATAGTTTGATAGACTTCCTATCCTAGTGGAATTAGGAAAGTCTTCCAGAAGAGATGGCCTTAGGAGAAGAAGGCTTAAAGGAGTGAGAGTTAAGGAAGTGAGGAAATGTGCATGTGCTGGACAGGGACGGGGAGAGCAGAACAGAGAGAACAGAGGTGTGAAGGAACTGACACAGTAGATACCTGGAGTTCATGGACATAAAAGCAATTACCTGTGGTTGGAATTTCACAAGTCAAGAAGGGAAGTGGCAAGGAGTAGAGCTGGAGAACTATGCAGGGTAAAGTGGCAGATATCACCTTATGCCATGATGCCATAATTATTTTTAAGTAACTACCCAGCTTTGTCTACCCAACTACACGGTGGCTACTCTGGGGACATGAGTTAGTCACCCCTGAACCCTGGGGCATGGCATAGTGCCTGACATAGTAGGTTTTCAATACATGCTATTTTTCCATATTGTTGATGCATGTGTTGTAATTGTTAACTACTACCAGCAGCTTTAAAAACATTTCTTGATTTCAGTTGGAATTTAGTTTTTGTTTTGTTTACATTGCATTTATAAAGAATATTTCTTTGTTTATTCCCTCATACATAGACTAATGATTTGCTACTCTTTCCTCTTCTATAAAATGAAAATTACTAAGTGGCTAATATAATTTATATATTTATTTTGGCTTTCAGGATACACTACTGTTAGTTAAATTCAGCACTTCACATTTATAAAAATGTTAATACTCTTTATTTATTTATTTTTTAAATAAAAAAAAATTTTAGTAATGTCTATACCCAATGTGGGGCTCAAACTTACAACCCCGAGATCAAGAATCTAATACTCTCTGCCTGAGTCAACCAGGCACCCCCAAGAATATTAATATTGTTAAAGATAATTTGAAGAGAGAATGTATCTACTTTATTTAAAAAAAAAAGAAGATTTTATTTATTTATTTTAGAGAGAGAGAGTGAGCACACAAGCAAGGAGAGGGAGAGGGAAAAGGAGAGAATCTCAAGCAGGCTCCGTGCTGTGTGGAGCCCGACATGGGGCTCTATCTCGTGACCCTGAGATCACGACCTGAGCTGAAACCAAGAGTCGGATGCTTAACTGACTGAGCCACCCAGGCACCCCTATGTCTACTTAAAATTACTTTAAAAAAAAAACAAAACTATGATTCTGAAAGCAATTATTTTTTTAAATTTCCGGGCTTATATAGTTAAATGCTTTTTTAAAAGTATTTTCCATTAGATGGTTTCCTGGGAAATTTGAAATTAACAGTTGGTTAGCATTCCATTAAATTTTCACATTAATTACACATCTATAAGGGCATTATGATTAATTGTCAGAGTAATTGACAGAATGATTATTCATCTATAAGGGAATCATGATTGAATCACAACAATTGATTTTTATGAGGCCAGCTAAATTTTTCTTCTTTAATTTTAGTTTAATTATACAGTACAACACAGTATGTGTGTGATCTGGATAGCTATATTTTAGATAAATATGTTGTTAGAAAAGGCTGAATCCAGATGATGCTATAACAGAAAGATCACTTAGTATACTAAGCTGGGTCTAGCTCATGCTTTTTTGTCAAATTTTACTATGTATTTGTTTGAAATAAACTATTTGACTTTCACTGGGATCCTGAGTGTCAGTGAATAAATGATAATATTTTAGTTTTTCCACAAGTGTGTGTGGACTTCTCTAATGTTGTATTCTTAACACGGATCAAAGTTCAATAAATATTTTATTGATCTAATACTTGTCTGTTACACAGGAAATAAAACTGAAATTCTTTAGTAACAGTTCTTACCTTTTTTTAAAAGATTTTATTTATTTATTTGACAGAGAGAGACACAGTGAGAGAGGGAGCACAAGCAGGGGGAGGGGGAGGGGGAGCGGGAGAAGCAGGCTTCCCGTGGAGCAGGGAGCCTGATGCAGGGCCTGATCCCAGGACCCTGAGATCATGACCTGAGCCGAAGGCAGACACCTAATGACTGAGCCACCCAGGCGCTCCAATAGTTCTTACTTATTTTTTTTTTTTAAGATTTTATTTATTTATTTGACAGAGAGGGACAGCGAGAGAGGGAACACAAGCAGGGGGAGTGGGAGAGGGAGAAGCAGGCTTCCCGCTGAGCAGGGAGCCCCACGTGGGGCTCGATCCCAGGAGCCTGGGATCATGACCTGAGCCGAAGGCAGACGCTCAATGACTGAGCCACCCAGGCTCCCCAATAGTTCTTACTTCTAATGGACATTATTGGCACATGGCTCTCTCTCTCTCTCTACACACACATACACAGACACACACACACACACGCATATACACAGTTAAATTGTTGAAAGGCGATATAGTATGATGACTGCGCTCTGAGCAGAACAGAGCTGAGTTTAAATCCTCTGTCACATTTAAATCCTCTGTCACATACAGTTGTATGATATTAAGAATATCAGCCTCTCTAAATCTCAACTTCATAATCCATAAAATGTTTTTATGTGTATATGATGTTCAAATAAGATACGGTAAAGCAGTTAGCATTAATTTCTGACATATAGCAAGTAGTCATTAAATATTAGCTAGTATTATGATGATTTATACCTCTTATTTTTGTTCATTTTTCTTCTCTCCTGCTTCGAGAAGATTTGAAACAACTTATCATGTTCTCTATAGAAACAGCTCACTGGGAACCATTCCAGTGCCTGGTGGACAAAACTCAGAACCACTACCATTCTATATTGGATGTTTAGAGAACATAGGGATGCTTGGGGAACATGAAGCTTCAAAAACTCTCATATGCATTCCAAATAGCTAAAACATCCATATGCATACTCACAGGAGGTATGTGTAGATGAAGAAATGCCAAGTTGAATTTTACCAGGAAACAGCATCGGGACTAAGTGGAATACATTCTTTTGTGCACTTTGCATAGCTCAGAAGCTGCTATTGGTTATGAATGGAGACTTAAATTGTGCTTGAAGACCATTTCAAAATATCTAGTTTCTTGTAAACGAAGTGTCCCTCGAGGATCCATCAATACATTACAAAAAATGCGTGGGATTCAGAGTCCAAATATGGATTGAATGAATTGCATTTGTCATTTACTAGCTGTGTGATTTTTGGCAAATGACTTTGCCTTTCGAAGTCTTGATTTCCTTGGCTGTATAATGAAGCTGGCTTGCAGGGCACCATGAGAATTAAGTGAGGTTACGTATATAAAGTGCTCATCACAGTGTATTAGTGTTAACTGTAGTTGTCACCAAGGAAGTTATTATAAAGTAGACTATGATATTGGGTCAGTTCAATATTTTGATAGATACAAGTGATCTGTGTTCAGTTGAGGTAATATCACTGTAATATCATGTCACAACATAACCAACCAGCTCAATATGTATAATCTGAACAATGAGTTTATTTCTGTAATAATAGTTGATGTTCACTGAGTATTATGTTGCAGTCACTGGGTTAAGTGCATTTTTGCGTTTAATCTCCACAGCATTCCCATGCTTTGGATATTATTTTGTAGAGAAGGAAAATGAAACTTAGGAAGGAGAATTAATTGCTTGAGGTTGCATGGCAGTTAAGTGCCATCGATGGCCAGGAATCTAGCTTTAGTCTGCCTCTAAAATGCAGGCTCTGACCACCAGGTTATGCCACCTGTTAATTTGTTACATAGTCTGAAAAGCAAAGAAAGAGAATCTCTTGTTGGACAGACTGACCCTACTCTGACTTTAGGAAAGATAAAATGTATTGCTTCTCAAAGTCTTTAATTAATGAAACAAGGGATTCAAATAAGCTAGAAGCTGCGACTTTGAAAACTTTCCTGACATGAGAGAAACAGTGGCTGTGTATTGTCAGAACAAAATTACCACCACATGCAACCCATTTTTAACTTGTTTTGCCTTTAGTTAGCCTCAAGTTCTTTTTTCACCTTGTGTCTTTTAAATGTACTGTACATGTGTCACAAACAGCACACCCAGAACCATATCTTGGCATTAAAATTCCATGAAGTCCATTTTGGGAATCAGATTACTACACCTATTTTTAGTTCTCAACACAAATTACTTTTTCCATTACACTTTTAAATATCCAGTGATAAAGAGATTGAAAATAGCTCCTACAGCCAAATAAAAATCCTGCATTTGGTTTGATCAGGACAGACCCATTGACTGGCATTGGTATAATTACATTACTGAAGCAGCTACCTGTGAGGGCCTCTTTCTTCCTCTCGTTAGGACTCCCCTCCCCATTTGCTGCTATATTTGTCTGCCCTCTTGGCCATAAAAGGCTGGCTATGTGGCTCTGACATTCTCCTGCCTGACCACATGCATTATTTTTGAACTGGTCCCCCGGGTCCTGTCTTTAGCCCTGCCTCTTCACTTTTTTTTGGGATTCAACCGACGTGGGTTTTTCATTCTCTCATCCAGCTCCACAGCCACATCGGAGCATTTCTACCACCATCACTCCTTTGAACACGGGTAAGTGTGACACTGAGGCAGAAAAATGCACTTGATATTTGATGTGCTTAACAGTATTGCATGTGTGTGGTTTCTTTCCATCTTGTGAGTTCAGTGGTTTTCTCAGAGAGTGGTCATAAGAGAAGAGAAATAGCGAAGGGGAGCCCCTGGGAAGGAAGACAAAAGCAGCAGGGTGCCAGTCTTTGCTGGCACTGCTCTCCTCTCACATCTACACTGTTCTTTTTAAGTTAAGCTACTGTTTCTGGAACCATAAGGGGATAATGGTGGAACTGTAAGTGTGAGTCCAAGTACTCTTTCCAAGTTATAGTTCAATGGTCTGGTTGAAATCTGGAATGGATGAGGTGGCAGGATGCAATGTGTTTTCTATCTTCCATATGCCTACAATAGTCCCAATTATAAATTAGACCAAATGAGGTAAATTAACTCTGAAGTCCCTAGTTTCTAATTCAGTGATTTTGTTCTGACAATGCCATGTGAATAGGTGTAAGAGTGCATTATGATATTTCTAACCTGGAAATGGTTAAATAATATTTCAGTGGCAACATAGATCCCCACAGAATGATCCTAAAGCTATGAATGATTTAATCTGTGAATGATTCAAATCAGCTTTTAGCCTCTAATGCTTATACAAAAGTATCGTATCAGGATTACAATTATGGAATTAGTATTTCTTCCAAAATTCCCAAATTATGTTAAGAAAGAAAATGCAGGTCTTAAAGAAACAGAAGACAACCAAACCATCTTTCTTCCCAACATACTCTAGCTGTCATGTGTTGGCGATAATCCTCACTTACTTGATGAAGAGAAGGTAGCTGTACCTTCATTCCAGAGGTCAGGGCGGTGACAACCAGCTCTGATGACTTAAAGCCAGACCCTGTTTACTTGTAATACATTATGTATGTGTCTGTGATATGAAATACTATTAGAATAAATATATTTTGGGGAAAATAGAAAGAGTGGGAAGTAGAATTGGGGCAAGGTATTTAAAGATTTTATTTTGTGAAAATGACAGCATTTCAAGTCACGTTAGCATATATGAACTTAGCTTATAACATAATACATAAGAAGGTTATTCATCATTTATTTGGACGTCATTTAAATAATATTTGCCATGTTACAATGTACTGTGTATCATTAAAGAAACTTACCTATTATCTTTGTAATTGCTTAACATATTTCTGTATTACTATATTCGAATCCTTTTGTTTTATCAAAATTTATCTAATAATTCATTACATATGGTAATTATTCTGTATGTTTTAGAACAGAAGATAGCAATCTATTTAAGGGTTGAAGCAAAGTTGCTTGCCTAGTAGCTATTTTTTTCCTCTTGGGAAATGCCATGTAGACTGATATCTTCCATGAGTCCCAAGACAAATATTTCTGGAGTGCAGTTTGCTGGATTTTCTTCTCTAGGGAATACATACTGACTTTTAAAAGAGTTTAAATAGGGGCGCCTGGGTGGCTCAGTTGTTAAGCATCTGCCTTCGGTTCAGGTCATAATCCCAGGGTCCTGGGATCGAACCCCGCATCGAGCCCCGCATCGGGCTCCCTGCCCTGCGAGAAGCCTGCTTGTTCCTCTCCCACTCCCCCTGTTTGTGTTCCCTCTCTCACTGTGTCAAATAAATAAATAAATAACCTTTAAAAAAATAAATAAAAAAATAAAAGAGTTTAAATAAAAAGTAGATTTAAACTTGACAAAAACATGGCAAGTTTAAAAGGATTCATTCCTCATTTAAAATGATCAAAGATGAGATTTGGAAAAAAACTGATTATCTCACAACCAATTTTACTTGTAAAATTAAATATTTAAATTTTTAAATGTTATTTATGTTTATTTAAATGTTTAAATATAATTTAAATGTTAAAAATAACATTTCAGAACATGCACGAAAACATTATGAATTGGGGGAGGGGCTTTCATAAAACTCTTACTTCATCCAGGTAAGTTAGCAATGTGGCTTAATAGACTCCTGTCAGTGGACACAGTATTCAAGAAGCTCATGTAGGAAAGGAAAAATGAAGGGGGTGGGAATTGTAGGGGGAGACAAACCATGAGAGACTATGGACTCTGAGAAACAAACTGAGGGTTCTAGGGGTGGGGTGGGGGATGGGTTAGCCTGGTGATGGGTATTTGAGGAGGGCACGTGTTGAATAGAACATTGGGTGTTATATGCAAACAGTGAATCATGGAACACTACATCAAAAGCCAATGATACAATGTATGGTGATTAACATAACATAATAAAATTTCAAAAAAAAAGAAGGTCATGCAGTGTGAAACCTCCCCTCCCTATGCTAAGCAAACTTATCTTTTTGTCAGTTGAACTGTTAGCTCAAGTTCACAATACAAACTGCTACACTATGACTGACTTTCTTACTTCTTTATGTAAGAAGACTAGAAGACTTCATATTCTTTAAGGGAGCAAATAATCTGGTTTGACACTATACCTTTTTGAAGTGTTTGTGAGATTTGAGAGAGCTCATTATAGGATAATACAGTTGGCCCTTGAACAACACAGGTTTGAACTGCATGGGCCCACTTACACACATTTTTTTGGATAAATATAGTACAGTATTGTAAATATTTTCTTTTTGATTTATTAATATTTTTCTCTAGCTTTATTGTAATAATACAGTATAAAATACATATAAGGTGCAAAATATGTGTTAATCCACTGTTTATGTTATCAGTAAGGCTTCTAGTCAACAACTGGCTATCGGCAATGAAATTCAGGAGGAAGTCAAAGTTGATAGGCGAATTTTTGTGCGGGTGGGGGTGGGGTTGGCACCTCTAGCCTCTGCATTGTTCAAGGGTCAACCATATAAGCAAACTCCAGCGTTCAGTCCTAGGACTTTTCATCTATTTTTTGGCTTTATGTACCATCTATATGTTGGTGACTGCTGAATGCAGGTGTCCATCCTGGACCTTTACCCTGTGCTCCAAAGTCATGAATGCAATTTAACATCTCCACTTGGATGTCTAGCAAGTATCTCAACTGTAGAATATCTCAGACCCATCTCCTGTTCTTTCATCCCTAACTGTGCTTTCTTACACTCCTCCCCATCTCAGTTAACAGCAACTTCGATCTTCCAGTTCCTCAGGGGAAAACCTCAGGATCATCTCTCACCCCTCTCTTTGTTTCACAGCCTAATTCGGAACTTTCAGCAAATGCTGTTGGTTCTACCTTCAAAACATGTACTGAGTCTGATCACTTTTCACATTTCCACTGCCACCATTGTCATCTTTAGCCTAGACTATTGCAATGGCCTTTGCCTTCATTTGCTAGGGCTTCCCTAAAAAAGTACCACAGACTGGGTGCCTTAAACAACAGAAATCTTCTCACAATTATGGAGGCTAGAAATCTGAGATCAAGGTGTTGGTAGAGTTATTTTTATCGGAGGCCTCTCTTCTTGGCTTATAGATGATCTTCTTATCTCTTCACATAGTCTTCCTCTGTATATGTACACGTCTGTGTCCTAATTTCCTCTTCGTATAGAGACACCAGTCATATTGAATGAGGGCCCATCCTAATAATCTCACGTTAGCCTTATTTCCTCTGTAAGGACCCTGTTTCCAAATACAGTCACATTTTGAAGTACTGGTGGTTAGGACTTCAACATATGAATCTGGGGGAATATAACTCAGTTCATAATAGCCTTCTTTTTTAAAAAAGTTTTTTTAAGATTTTATTTATTTATTAGAGAGCGCATGAGCACAGGGAGGGGCAGAGAGAGAGGGATAAGCAAATTCCCCGCTGAGCAGGGAGCCAGATGTGGGGCTCGATTCCAGGACCCCAGGATCATGACCTGAGCTGAAGGCAGATGCTTAATCGACTGAGCCACCCAGACGCCCTTAAAAAAAATTCTTTAAAGCTTTTATTTTTAAGTAATCTCTCCACCCAAAATGGGGCTCAAACCCACAACCCTGAGATCAAGAGTCGCACGTTCCACTGACTGAGCCCGCCAGGTGCCCCTATAACAGCCTCCTAATTGGTCTTCTGGCTTTCATTCTTGTCCCTCAATAGTCTATCCTTTATATAACAGCAAGAATCTCAGTTTGGAACCTTCTGATGGTTTTTCCAGCCCTTTCAGAGGGAAAGACAAAGACCCTACAGTTGCTCATCGGACCTACACTCTCTACCTCCCACCCCCCGACATCGTCTCCTATCCATCTCCCTGCACCCCGCTCACTCCTTGTAGCTTCACCGCCTATTTGTACTTCACTGCCTGGAGTACGACACGCATGTGCACACCCTAGAGTCTTTGCAATGGTCTTCCATCTAGGACGCTCTTCTCATTTTCTCATGCTCAGATGACACTTTTATGCTCAGAAGCCATCCCTGATGAGACTGTTTAAAACTGCATCCCAACTCCCTTTCCTGCTTTATTTTTCTCTGTAGCATTTAGCCCATTCTGTTATACCTTACATTTTATTTATTTTCTCTATTGGCTATCACCTGCAATAGAATATAAAGTTCTAGCTAAGGTTATCAGAGCAGGGATTTTGTTTGTTTTGTTCATCTTGTGCTGGAACAGTACCAGGTTTATAGTAGGTGCTCAGTAATTATTTGTTGAATGAAACCACATTGACCGTGACACAGACTCTGCATCATTACATATTCTCCCAGACGAAGCCCCTATCAGGATAAAATGCCAGAAAATTTGAAATACATATTATGAAAGGTCTGAGGAAAAAACACAATAGCTAGGGTAGGGAAGCTTTGTAAAGACCTCCTGGTTATTAAAACAAAACCCAAAAAACCAAACCCACATAAGAAGGCAGCCCAATGTTGGAGGGGGCTTATGTGGGCTATGAAGTAGAAAGTTTGCTGAGTAACCAGTTAAGCTAACCTTCACGTCCTTTTCCATTTGCTCTTTGGAAAAAATAAGAGTATTTATTTTTACATATTGATTTAGATACCTTGTTTCTTAATAGTTCACTCACAAGTTGCTGCTTTCTTGTAGGTCTCCTGGTTCCTTCCAGGGCACACGATGTCTCTGCCCTTTTATCAGAAGCCTCACCAGCACTATGACAGCAGCTACCGAAACAGGGACCTTCGCAGCACCATGAGCCAGTACCAGCAGGAGAAAAAAAGTTCTGCCATCTACACCCATGGCTCCACGGCCTACAGCAGCCGCTCTGCCACCGCGCACCGCCAGGAATCCAAGGCCTTCAGCCAGGCGTCCACGGGCTCCTACCAGCAGCAGGCCTCCCAGGCGACTGAATCTACCCATGCGTTCGCAGCCAGTCGGAAGACAGCCTCGGCCTACGATTATGGCTACTCCCACGGGTATGTCAGAAGCAGCCTTCCAACCTTAGCTCAAAGGCACACTCTCTGAATAACCCTCCTACATCATGTTTTCCCTTCTTTCGGTCTGGCAGCCCTACATTTATTTATTTATTTGTCTGTTAAAGAATTGCTTTATTAATACAAAACATACACACAAACTACTGAGCGCTAAGAAATTTAAATATCTAAGTCATAGCAAACAGGTGGCAATTCAACATCCAGGGTCAACAGAATGCTTGGAGGCTGCAACAGATTCGACTCCCATGGTGGAGAGGGCATCTTCAGAGGTGAAGGGAGGCCCAGGTGCAACAGCTTCTCGAGTTCCCTCTCCTCATCAAGGATCATGAGAGGCACTCCACTCAAGGTGAGACGTGCAATCTAGTGCTCTTCAGGCAGGTCAAAACTCTCAAAATCTAAAGAAGGGAAAGAATTTTTCTATTTCTGGATAGGTGTCATCCGAGGCAGGAACAGAGCTCTTTGCTTTGATAGTCTTCTCAGTCACCTTTTTGGCAGAGAAGGTCGGCTGCTTCTGTTTGAGAGATCCATTAGTCTTTACTGAGTTTTCTGTGGTTCTATTGACAGTTCCCAAAGCCTTTCTGGCAACTTTAGGTAAGGCTGCTTGAGCATCAAACATTTTGCCTACACGTGGTGTTGAAACCTGAGATCTCCCATCTAAAGCTTTGACTGGAGGCCTAGACCCCGGCTTCAGCCTGTTCTTGGGAGCCACAAGGGGGGCCTCGTTCTCCATTTTCCTTATCAACAAAGATCAGGGTAGCCATTCTGGACTAGCTCCTTCCTCGCGGGACCTGCGCGCCCAGCCACTCACAACCTCACGGTCCCTGGCAGCCCTACATTTAAATCAGGTTTGGAGAGGGGCGCCTGGGTGGCTCAGTCATTAAGCATCTGACTCTTGGTTTTGGCTAAGGTCATGATCTCAGGATCTTGAGATCAAGCCTCATATAGGGCTCTGTGCTCAGCACAGAGTCTGCTTGTCCCTCTCCCTCTGCTTCTCCCCCCGCTCTCTCTCTCTCTCTCTCTCTCTCTCTGAAATAAATAAATAAAATCTTTTAAAAAAACAAATCAGCTGTGGAGTGAGGCCATGTATTTGGGAGACCTGGGACTTACGTGTACCTGTTTCCATTTACCGTTTGAGTTTCACAGAGAGCTTCATAATCACACTGGCGTGTCTTGCTTGCATTGCCAGCTGTGATGTTGCTAGAAGCAGAGAAGTTTTGCCATAGATTGAGTTCAACATTCAGTAGCAGCAGAGCCAGAAAACATCATTTCAACGCTCACAGCAGGTTTCCTGGCCCTCAGAATGTTTCTACTTAGATGAGAAGCCAGTATAGAATTTAAAATTCACAGGTCACAGGCGCCCAAACTACAGCAGAGATGCGTTCTATTTTTTCGGTATCTGAGAGCCAGTATTAGAATTCTGAGCCATTGTTCAGGTAGGCAGCAGATATTTTTTTTAGCTAGAGCATTTTATACAACCAGGCCCCTATCTCAGTCAGCCTAAGACTACCAGAAACAAACCTGTATTCTGATAAAAGTAGATTTATCAACCCATTGCATTGAGGGAGACCACACAGCAGAGGAAAAGAGAGAGTTACTATATTAGAATTCTAGGAAGAGTGGAGTTTACATGCAGGTCTGGTCTGCAAAGCAAACCCAGCGTCCTGTTTCTATTGGAAACAGTGAAGTTGAGGACTGTTGTATCCAGAAGCCCTTTATGTGGAGCTCAGCGTCTGAGTTGGGAACTGAGGCTGTTTCTCTGTCAACAGCAAGTGGGGTCATCCAGTCAATGTCTCATTCTTACTGATAAAATTTCAAACAGCAAACTTACTGATAATCTTTGATATTAGAGAAGAAAGTTTCTCAGTGAGTCTGTAGTCACCCAGAGAAGGTTATCACAGCCCTTTTTAGCAGCAGTGTCCCTGAGAGAAATGTTTTCTGTGAACTTTGCAATTGGCTTCTGTGTCTGTAGTTCCAGCCTGATGAATGCTGGGCAGATGCTTACTTTCTCAGCCCAAGCCGGTTTTTTTTTTTTCTCGATATCCCAAATGAAATGTTTCATTGGGATTAAAAAACACTTGCAAGATTCATGTGATTTTATTAAAAATCTATCTGTAGTCCACAGAAGGAATTGCTGAACTTGCAAATGTAAACATTTCTGGGATATATGGTAAATAACCACCTGCTGCCTCAAGTCCACCTCTCCAAAGCATCTGGCATAGATTGCATTTTTTAAGTTATCAACATAATATAATTTTAAGTCTTACAAAATTTAAGTCCACAAAATATCCGTTAGGACAACTAGAAAAGTGTTACTTTCTGGGAGTTAAAGAAGTTATTGAGGAAATAATGCAGTGGATTGTATGAATAGAAGTGAGGCTAGTTTCTGAAGGCATAAATTCCTGAATCCCCGTTGGGTTTAAGCAGCACCTGATCTATGGCTGTTGTTTCTCGGGCACTGACAGGGACCTCCTGGGAGCTTCTGCTCTGTTTAGTAACAGAGCCAGAGTCCGCTGGGGTTTGCCTGGAATGTCTGATGGCCACGTTATGAAATTCCATTTAAAATGGAACAGGATCATTTTGCAAACTCACTTTTATGGGATATTCAGCAGGACTTGGTGTTGGCTGTAAAGATGGAAATATGGTCACTAAGGTGAATTCATTTCTTTTAGCACTTGCTTTAAATGAACTGCCTTCCAAAGGAAAGTTGAGAGGAATTAACACCATGCTGTATGGGACAGCATCATTTTGTTCTGAAGAATGTTCCGTAGAACATTAAGAACCTCGTTTAGGAAAGCAGCTGTCTTTTAATAGAGGAGGATTACATTTTAAATATCCATTTTCATGGACTGTCTGTGCTGAGTCTATAGAAGATGTTGCTAATGTAACTGCTTGTGGACTTATTTCGTTTCCCCAACGCAATACAATCTACAAGTTTTATGAATTTGTATTTAAAGAGATCTATTGCTAAATTTTATGTTAAATTATTTTAATTTTAAACAAAATATCCTTTTAACCACATGTGTAATATTCATATTTATTTATAATGGGATATATTATATTAAACATTAGTAATTAAACCTTTGAGCACTTTTATATTTTGTTAGAAAACATTTGCTCTGTGTTATCTTTGGAAGACTTAGCCATTTCAGCTTTAAAAAGCCTCACATAGTAAAGTTTCTATAGGAAATGGAACTGTAATCATTTTTCTATACTCAACTTCACATTGTGTTCTTTCCTGAAATGTCTATATTTATGTAGATAGGTAGGTAGGTAGCTATTCATTAATGGCTTAATGTTTGAAGAATTCAAACTTCTTGGTAGAAACATGTTGACCTAGAAACAAGAGAGGGAAGAAAACACCAATATTTTTTCCTTTGTGTAATACAATGTAAAAGAAAAGAAAGTCAACCTAATCCTAGGGTTATTTTAGTTTTTCTTTTTTTAGCTCTAGAGCTAACAGGTTCAGATAGTATTCTTTGAACATTTCAAAATCTTCATAATTCCTTTAGGTTGTGTTTTTGCTCTCTCAAAATGGAATAACTTTTCCCTGCTAAATGAACTATCTCTCTTTGGAATATGAGACGTGTTGATTAAAACCCCTAGGTTTAGAAATGCAGTTCCATGGAATGTATGTAAACACTAGGCTTGATCTATTTTTAGCCTGTGCTTTGTAGTTAGATGTCCAGTAGTAAAGTGGAAACTATGGAGATTTATATGTGCTCAGGGCTTGGCTGACCTCAGTAGGTCTTAGGAACAATGGCCCGTTCAACATCAATGTGGTTGTAAGCAGAGATCAGTTACCAATTGAATTCTGAGCCTAGGGTTATAAAATAAATCCTGGAAGACATATTCTAAATGCCTTTATTCTTAGTCACAGTGAGGAAAAAAAAACCCTAAAGTAATTCAGGAAGACAAAAATGACACAAGATTATTGTTTTATGTTAGTAATCCACAAATACTATCAGAGATTAAAGGAGAAATGGTACTCATAACTACCATAAGGCAATGGTTCTTAACTTCTATCCGTGAATGGAGGGTCTTAGGTGATCTGAAATTATGTGCAAAATTAGGCACAGTTGAGAATTTGTTTTTGCTGAGAAAGATGGTAGCTTTCACCAGATTCTCAGAGAACCCTGTGACTCAACAAAGGTCTGAACCACTACCCTGGAAAGTCAACATATAAACATCAGACAACCCCATGTGTGGCCTGAGAATCCCTTTCTTAATGCCAGTATTATACAAAGTTAGGATGAAATAAGGCAGATGTTTACAGGGAGTGTGGTATTATGAGAATCAGGGTTCCTTTGTTTCTTTTGAGTAGGCTGGATCATACATTAAATTGGAAATAAGTGAAATATTTTGTTACACTTGATAGGAATGAATAACTTTCAAAAAGCAGAGACAACACAGCATAGTTCTTAGATGATGGAGGGATGTAGAGTTGTCCCTCCACCCTTTGTAGAAATGGTAGATATTTAATTGCTTGATTCTAAACAGATTGACATTCAACCCATATGATGCAACTCAGCACAGCATCCTCTGTACCATTGTATCCTTACAATAACCCTGAGAGGTCGAAATTATATCCCCATTTTAAAAATGAGAAAATCAGAGACCAAATTGATTAAATAACTTTTCTCTCTTGCACTAAGAAGTGGTAGAATGATGATTTGAACCCCCATCCTACCCAAGCCCTCCACTCTTTTCATGGGTACCCAGTGACAGTTATAATCAACTAACTCCCCTTGACCTCCTGGCCACCAGATTTTTCTTGAAGCATCAATATATAGTTTTTCATTATATTTCCTTTTATTTGCCATTCTTCTGGAGAAGCCGTAGAACACCAGAATAACTAAGATTCAGAGTAGGGAACAGGCGATCCTAGGAGCATTCATGAATGCCAAACCTGGAACCTCACAGACTGTTTAACTTGTCACTTAGAATCAGACATAGTGACTTGCCTGGGGCATTCTGCCTAACAT